CGTGTGTTGGTTGTTGTCCCTCCTGTAGTACTTCAGGAAGGTAGACTCTCGTGACCAGTCCGCTGCATTCATGATGCTATGTAGAGACACCCCAGCAGCTGTAGCAGCTGAAGTGGATGCTCCTCGAGTGGAATGAGCTGAGAAAGTTGCTGTGTCAACACCTGCCGTGCCTAACACTGACTTAACCCACCTGGCCAGGGTCGCAGAACCAACTGGCCTGTGTGGTCTGCTGAACGATATGACAATCTGCTCCCCCCCCCCCCTTCTTTCCGAAGGGAAGAAGTCCGCCTTAGATATCTTTCAAGTATGTGAAGGCACACAAGCGCCTGTCCTGCGGGAGGCCGCCCAAAAACACTTTCTGGCAGGTTTCCCTGGTCTAGAAGTTTCAGCAGGGTAGGAATTGTCCAAGAAACACCGTTTCTACATTTTTTCATGAATCTCAAGTCATGAGCCGCTAAAGTCTGACCTCTGTCGGCTGACACCAATGCCGCTAGTGTTACCAACTTATGAAACAGCTGTTTCAAACTAAGACTATTAGCTTGGCAACAATGCAGAAGGTACTCTAGGACCCGACTGACGTCCCATGTTGAAACATATCCTTGGACAAGGAGGACATTTGTGAAACAGACCTCTCATCAGTTTGGACACTAGAGGGTGACTACCCACATTACAATGGTCTACTGGTAAGTGTACAGACGAGATCGCAGAACGAGCCACCCCAATTGACATACAATGTATAGCCGTAGTTCTGTCGGAACATCCATTCAAGATATTCTACTATGCTCTCTATAGAGCCGCAAACTGGATCAATCTCCCATCTATCACACCAGCTGGCCCACTGAGCCCATGCTGACTGATACTGTCTAGAAGTGCTTTCTCTCCAAGCTGAGAGGATGAAGTCTGAAGCCCCTGCCGAAAGGCCCCGACCCTGCAACGTTTTGGACCCCTGCACCTTTCTCCAACATACTGTGCACTTCGGCGTCTACAACCTTTGCTCTGTCCTCCCCAGATATATTTGTGACCGGCTGGACGAACTGAACCGGAGTGGACTCCCAGTTTTCCATGAAAAAAGCTGTTCGCCCTGCGTGTTGACCCGGAGAACAGAGCAGAGTCTGATGACGAGGAAGAGCTACTGTTTGTTTGGGCCTTTTGTGCCCTGCGCTGAACGAAACCCCGAGATTTTCTTACCCCCAGCATTTGACCATGATGGTCTAGCATTGTTGTTGTTGTTGTTGTAGGGACGAAAAATGTAACCCTTTGAGTTTGAGGAGTACTTGGTGTAGCTATAGTTAAACTTTGAACGGTTGGCCTGAAACCTGTCCCTAGCCCTAGAAGTGCTCGAAGGGGCTGGCTTATAAGCCTTACTCAAAGTGCGTCTAGCCTAATCGGCTGCATTAACCTTCTCCAAAAAGGTGTCTCCAAATTAAGAAGGGGAAAGAATCTGAAGTTCCCGAGCAGGTCGCTACATTTCTGAGCGAGGACTTTACTCACAAATTCGGAGTTTAAAGAGAGGAAGGAAAACTTTTCCCACTCCACCTAATGTTGAATTAGCACTTCGGGCGCCGATTCTAGACCCAGTAGTGGCTAATATGATCAAGCATGATACCGTAAACACTGATAAGAATTTTAGTGATTGCCAGGATAAGATGCTCATGGCTGCTAACCTTTTAGTAGAGTTGTTGGCAGCAGTTAAGGGTTCGGACCATCCTCTAAACCGGATGCTGTTTGCAAAGCGATAGAATCGTCTTTGGTGTTTTTTTTTGGGGGGGGGGATCAGCTTCCTCTACTATGACTCAGTATAGACGTGAAATGTGTGGCAAGGACATGAAACATGTTTTCAAGACCGATTTGCCCACCGGTTCCTCCAAATACTTATTTGAAGTTATTATCGTAGGGATTATCAAACGACAAGGAGTTACCTTCGTCAGAGTCAGAAAAGGTGATTTTTCCCTCCTCCGAACACTCTTCCACTTCAGAACCTGGATGCTCTCGCCCGGAACCGACTACACCGGCTCGGCTGGTCGACGCTACCCCGTCAACGTCCCGAGGTTGACGGGATGAACTGGACGCCTGAGAAAGTCCCAAGCTGGAACTGATCCACTGAAGAAAAGAGGCAGCGTCGAATCCAGGCGGGAAGGGTGTTCGTGATGGAGGTGGGGGTGGAGGAGACTTTTCCCCACCAAGCTTCGGCACGGTCGGGGAGCCCAACTCCTCCGAGCCCGGAGGAAATTTAGGCCGGGGCGGCGGCAGTCCGCGCCGTCTCCTTCCTTGACCGATGTTCCCGGTGCCAACGCCGAAGGGGCATTTCGCTCCCAAGCGGCGGATGTTCCCGGTGCCAACGCCGAAGGGGCATTTCGCTCCCAAGCGGCGGAAAGAGGTTGGAGTTCTTCTCTTTTTCCTCCGAACCTCCAGCTGTAGGAGCGGGGACTTTTCGTTCACCCGACTCCTCTTCCTCCTGTCTGGAGGCATGTGCAGACACGCCTGTCTTTTCCACAGCCAGGAATTTTTCCTGACTAGCGTTGGGAAACAGGCCGCTTCTCTTGCCGTTACGACCCGTCTGGTCCTCCGAAAGGCTACCTGAATCGCCCTCGTGGGCAGAAGACTTCGTTTTATCCTTCTTTTTGGGCCTAACGCCGAAAGAAAATCCGAAAAAATAAGGAGTAGGGAAACGAACGTGCACCCCTCTGCGAACGCACAAGGAAAATGGCGGCGAACAATGTCATTACGTCATGATATCCCGTGATGCTTTGCGATTAGAGCTTTGTACACGTGCGCCACCTAGCGATAAGCATAGGAAATACTGCATAAGGTAAATGATATACCCAAATAGGGAGTGTGCAGGTATAATTTGACTATTCCCAGGAGACTCATCAACGCTTTCCGCATGTTCATTAACACCTAATATGTTACCATAAAAAGTATTAAGACAGTTGGGTTGAGCGTTTGGGATTTATGGGAGGGAGTCCATAATTAAATCGTTTTTCCATAATTATATCGCGGCTTGTTACTTACAGTTTGGTGTCTGGAAATCCTAGCAGCAGATCCAAAGTCTGCAAGCTTGATGTGCCCAGTTCTGTCAATCAGAATGTTGTCTGGTTTCACATCTCTGCAACAAACACAACATCAGACATCAGGCCTCGAAATTAACTTTTTTACCATTTTTTTTTCTTTTTAATTCTCAGAGCCTCCATGCCAGTGTTTAAGATATAGTACATGATTGTATGAAGAACAAGAGTTCCACGATTTCATACCTTCGCCAAATGATGTTGATCGGTGGACGAATTATACAAGTTTATTCATTGATTTCGCAAATAAGAGCATCATTTACTTGATTCATAACCGTTGATCATATTCTCCACCCAATGACAGCCTGATCTTAGCAAAAAAGGCTATTCTAGAACTTCCTCATAAATTATGCAAATATCGTCATGATTTGAATAAATTATGTTTATTGCTGTTTACCTTCACTTAACTTCTAAATGCAGCAAGTATGAAATTCCCAGCCATTACTACAAAGAAAATTATAAAAATTTCTCATTGATTCTGCAAATTACGTCTTCATTTACATAATCTATATCCTCAGAATGTTGTTCTCGTTCTTATATATGTCAAGTGTTTCAATGGTCCTTTTATCGAACGAAGCAGATTTATATAATTACGTTATTACATTAGGTTCAGGTCCAGACGTTCAGGTTCTGGTCATCCAGACCTGAACCTGATGCTGTGTTGTCAACACATGTACATTTTGTATACAAGTACTGAATCTGAAGCCTATTTTTCTTTCTGCAAAACTGCAGATTGTATCATTTTTTGTTCTTGAAATCTTGAAAATGTATCTGAAGATTGCAGATTGCAGACAGGTATTTCGAACACTGAAGAAATTACGGTTGACTGTTTATAAACTCCTGCATTGAGAAGGGTTCAAAATATATGTTGTACCAGGTTACCCAGTAGCGGGGTTGCCAATGAATATATCAGGTTGCCACAGGTCCAAGGCCCTAATCCTAGATCATTGCAGGTGAACTTTACTGACACATTTCAAGTCCCAGAGTGCTAATTTATAAGGGATAAACAAAACAAGTGCTTTTAAAAAAAGCTGACATTTCGGCTGACGAAGGTTTTACTGCCGTTATTGAGGTAGAAGTTGTTGAAATGATATTACCCAAGTTGATAAAATTGGTACGAGACCACTTAAAGAAGAAAACACATCTGATAAAAAAAGCAAAACAGCGGATGTTAAAAAGAAAATTTAAAAAACTCATACGCCGGGACTTAAACAATTAGTTTTTGAGTGTTAAAAGCAAAACAGCGACTGTTAAAAAGAAAAGAAAAAAAAGCTCCTCTCCAGGATCGAACTCGCTATGTGCAAACCCCGCCACGTGCACCGCAAAAAAGAAAATTTAAAAAAGAAAATAAAAAAATTAAAAAAGAAAATTAAAAAAT